GAAGCTAGTAGTAACAAGTGCCTTACTAGTAGTAACAGGTGCCTTACAACCCACTCCGAAATGGCATCCAAAAGTAGATTGTTTCTCTGTCTCAGTCTGTCTCTTGACTGGAGGCATAGCCTGGCCGTCCGCTTGGATGGAATACTGCTGGAGCCTGCCGACATTTCGATTTGGGACGAGGACAGAGTTGTGCACAAGCCCTAAAATTTCAGAAGCAAGCCGATTCCAGCGCATTTCATACAATACGAGTCTACCGCAGAGGGCTTTCAGAACTTATGCACTCATGTTTGTCAGAAAATGTCAATGTAGATGTACGTCTTGGCAAACGCGTCGCTTGGGGCAATCAACGGATGAGCTTGCAAGTCTTGGACGATAACACCTTGGGTTTACGGGAAACCGTTTACCTATGTTTACACTGGTGCACTAGTAGCAAGAAGCTACTAGGAACAAGTGCATCGCTAGTAGTAACAGGTGCCTTACTAGTAGTAACAAGAAGCTAGTAGTAACGCGTCGCTTTGTGTTCGTTGCAGGGTCCCGAAAATGGCTCCGTACCACTCGAGCCTCTTGGCGATAGTCTTGACAACGCTCTTGAAGAAGGGTGAGTGAAGCTTTTTCAGCCTTGTTGGCTTTACCACTTTGTACTGTTTAGAAGAAAAACGAGCATACCTTTCATGACCTTTCTAAAGTGCCAATGATGGAACCTCACTCAAAGGGTATATTTTTAGCTGCAGCTATATGTGATTCTTCGCTATTAGCTTGGAGGCCATCGCCGTATATTTTGTCTTCGCAGCGAGGTTTCTCTTCCCAGGCGCGCCGGACTGCGATGGCCAGCGCTTGGGTGAGGCCTTGGGAGAGGTGGTGCAAGAACGGCTTCAGGAGAGAGTTTTTGGCGTCGAAGCGGAATTGCATTCAAAAGTTGCAAGTTGTATAAGGCCTTTTAATACCCCAGCGAAGCAAAGGGGTCTTCAGCCATAGTAAAGCATGTAAAGCCTTCGGAGCAGATGTTCTGGGCAGGTTTGGGAAGCAGGCTCCGGGGCAGGTTGCAAGGAAGAGGTTCCGGAGCAGGAACAAGTTCCAGGGCAACAAGTTCTGGAGCAGATCCGGGAGCACGCTCTGGAGCAGGTTAATGTCGACGTCGGATTAATCAACAGGGGCCCCTGCCTCCTTCAAGGTCAACAAGGTCTGAGGTTGGAGGTATTGGAGGACCACATCCCCCTCATAAAGGTGATGACGATGGCATGAGACAAGTGTGGATCAGAAGATCAGTTTGACCATGGACCAGAAAATATTGGATACTAGCCAAAAAGAAAACACATAGTAAAGAAACTAGTAAATTGTCTTGGTTCTTTTGAGGCCGTGTGTGGTAGGTGGGAGGGTTGTGTTGAGGTAGTAGGGAATCGGTTGGTCCAAATTTTGCAACTCAAAAGAACATCAGTAACACCTGAACGCTACAGACGTCATAGCCACAGAAACTGCCCCAGGGTTGCTCCATGCGCCAGACATCCTGTAGAAACTTCGTACCATTTTGTCCCGCCACCGGACAAACAAGAAATGTGTTGAATGATGATTGTGCGTTTTGATTTACAAGGGTTAGTGGTGTTTGACCGCGAAATTCGACATGTTGCTGCCAGGAGGAACAGAGAGCCGAGTTTCGATGGCAGCTGAAACAGCGTCGGGTGGCCGAGCGGGGAGGCAAATTTAGTTCATGGTTCAGTGGAGGAAACGAATGAAGGGTGTAATGGTGATTTTTTGTGCTTTATAGCTGTGCTAGCTACTTCTCCACTTCTAGCTGTACTTTGTGGAGCCCTGTTGAGGCCAGGAGTCTTCGTTGCGGAGGCGGAAGGCGAACGCCGCGGAGGAGGGTGACACATCTGAGGAGTGCAACACGTCAGAAAACTGAAAAACGACAGGGTGGGGCACGGTCGACACGGGTAACAGGGTGTCAGGACTGTCAAGATGTCAGAGACTCTGCCAAACACCCGTTGAATCCCGCTACAACGGCGCTACATCGCTTCCGGCCTTACAGAGTATCGGAGGAGAAGTGGCGAAGCTACTTGCAAAAGCCGGCTGCAGAGGTGACACTGAAAGTCCATTCCGTGTTTCGGTCGCATTTGATAGCATCCCTATTGAAATGCGTTTCCCTCGTTCATCAAGTGAGGCTGTAGATGAAAATCATTTGAATCAGGAAAACTTTAGCCTTTGTCCTTTAATTCATGCAGGAGTGCCACTACAAAACACTAATTATTGTAGATTTTAGTCACAACCGATGGCCCCGCCCTCGGGTAGTTTTTGGCAGAGCCAGACAGCAGTTTAGGAAAGTGATGCTGTGAGATGCTAAGCTTAGACTGTGATGGTCGGATGTGCTGAGATGTCCCGCAATTGATTTTTGATTTGTTATCATGTGTGATGTATGTGGTAGGTCGTGATATGTGTTAGGTGATGCGGCAATGTGGTGAGTTGTAGTTTGTGGAAGTGGATTCATGTGTATGCATTATACAGACATGACATGACATGACATGACATGACATGACATGACATGACATGACATGCTGTGTTGTTCGTTGTGGTGTGGTGAGGTGCACAGTCATTTGATGTGTGATCATTTGTAATGAGCTGGAGAGATAAAAGGGTTTGCTGCATGTTCTGTACTTTAGAAACCTCTTTTTCTAAATTGCTAAATTGGTGGCTTGATTTGTCAACATGCCCCCGTACCAAACAATTCAAGGAGAGTGAATAGCTCTCCAATGACGACTATTCGGCGAGTTTGGTCGCTATTTGGGAATCGCGATCTTCCAGACCTTCCCCTGGAAAAGCAATCAATCTAATAGCAATAGCAATGGCCTCCAACCCAATAGCGTTTTTTTGGAAATCATGTGCTCTCCGCTCATGAGAAGCAGCAACCACCATGTTGCGGCAGCCACATGCGAAGTTCAGAGCGAGTTGAATCGACCATCAGTCCTGGTCAGAGTACCGTCAAACTGTTAGTTGTTTTCTCTTCGGGCTTTGTCCACTGGTGAAGCCAGCAGCATCGCAGGTCTGTGTTCCCTTTTCGCTTACTGTAACTTTTTCGTGTTGCATATAACTACTATAGTCTCATACTGTTTCAAGTTCAGCGTCACATGTTGCAGAACCTTGAAGTGTTCAATTCGTGTAGTAGCAGAAAGGTTCGGGTTCTTCCAGAAGCAGCCTTCGCATGGTCAAAAAATCTAGGAACCAAAGGATCAGCGTGAGCTATCCTGCGTCCAGTTACTAGAAGCTAACGGACTAGTCGCCCATACTGCCCTTACTTAATTAAGTAGGCACCTACTTAATTAAGCCGCAGAGGGGCAAAGCACGTTAGTTGATTTTTCCTATTTTGTTCTAGATCTTCACGGAAACTATTGGACCTGAGGTGTTTGATGCAGGGACACGGATGAGAAAAGTATTGGGATGCCGTGTATCAATGTCTCCAGAAGTCCGAAGCTCAGCTTGACATAAGATGACATAGACATAGAAAGCTCAGCTTTCCTTACAAGAACACAACTAGAGAATGCATTTAAGGCCTTTGGTCTTGGTCAAAACTATCTCTTGCTAACAACATAAGCGTGTTCAAATTGATTTGCAAGTGGTGTTGTCTCAGACTGTTGCAATATCTCATGAAGATCCAGCTGAAATTCAGGCCGCCCATGGACTTGGGAAGATTTGTTTTCGACATGTCTTCGAAAGTGAGGAGGAGGATCAGAATGGATTTGTTTGATGAATTGTGTGTATGTGGGCCTGTTTGCGATTCTTAGTGGCGTTGTGGAAGAAGTTCCAGACCAAGGGCCTGGCGCAAGTCAGACACAACTTGTGAAGGAGAGAGAGAGGCTTCAAAAGCTCAAGTGGTACGAGGACCCCTTTTTCGTGGTTTGTTGATTCCCCACTCGTAGGATTGACGCGACTAGGTTTTCTACAACCCTTGAAGTTTTTGGTTTAGGCTACAGCACTTGTGTGGTTGGTCACCAGAGTACTTGTGTTCTGAGCAAGTTTGGCTCGTGAGGATCCTTTCTTATCGTGTTTCTATGGCTGTTCTTGCGCTGCTTCCTTAGATACCCTGTTCTCATTTGAGCAAGCTGGACGAATGTACTCACGCATTATGTTTTAAGGCCATTGCTAGTAGGTTGGAGGCCATTGCTAGTAGGTTAGTGGTCTTTGGAAAAGAATGACATTCCTTATTCCCTTATTTTTTTAAAATTTACTCTTTGGAAAGGGACAGCAGTTCCAAGGTGATCATTGTGGTGGTCACACTCTGGCTGTGTATGCTGCTGCCAGCAGTGATTCGGCAACTGTGACGCTCGTTTGTCATTTCATTTTTTGGTAAATGACTCGATCTTTTACCCAGAAAATGCCATAGCCATAGTGGACAAAACGTCAAGGCATGTAAAGACAGTCGTGCTTGAAATTTGGTTTAGCAGGACTCGAGTTCCTGGAATGCTTTAGGAATTTTCGGAGCCAGGCCAGCAGTTGGTGTCCAAGCCAGAGTCAGAGGCTATTTGGCTGTATGCATCCGTTCCATTTCCATGAATGTCCAATGTGATTCCATCACTTTGGCCTTGCCACATCTTGAGCAGTGTCGATCACCTCTGAGTCACCTCTTGGGAACTCTGCTGCTGTTGCCCGAGCTGTCCAAAAGCCAGTGAAGACAAAAAGAAATCTTGCAAAAGTTAACGGGTTTTCCACAGTGGTGTCTTTTCCATCTTTGTCGTCGTCGTAGTAGCAATAACTACTGTAATAATAAGTAGTGTAGCAACAGTAGCAGTGGTAATAGCAGGGCCGTTCGCGTCACTTGTTTGCTTGTTCGCAGCGTGTTCTTAGTTTTTATGTTTCAATTTTTTGTCGCCACCGCCAGACTGTCATCGCTTGCACAGCGTCATTATCACAGTTGTGCCATCACATTTCATTCAAGCCCCTTCTGTATAGATCGACGCATGATGACGTGTCCTGCTTCCACGGATGAAACAGGCCAAGTGTAAGGAGTCTTAAATAGAGAAACACATATCAGTTGCATATAGTAATATAGTTCCACATTCCAGACATCGCTTTGACCATGCTGCCTACAAGTCAAGATGAACAACGAGAGCGCACAAATACAGAATTGATGAATTGATCAACATTCATGGAAAACTGCTTCGCTTCAAGGCTGATCAGGCCTGAACTTCCCCCCACGCAACATGCTTGACCCGACAGGATTTTCAAGCAGACACCAAGCAAGCGTGATGAAGCCAAACATGGAGTCTTGTATTTCCCTTTGCCCCGTCTTGGTCTTGTATTTGTTGCAATCGCATTCTTGGTGTATATCATTTTCGCTTGCATTCAGCTCTGTAACTCAAGATGCTGCCGCGACTCGCAGCACGCCTTGCCCCGGTTGCCCGGGTGCGGCCTCATGTCGCGGTGCTTCGGTTGCAGACGCGATGCTTTGCACATCCTACGAACACGCATTTGATGCTCGACAGCGAAGAGCTTCCGCCAGCTTCCGAGAAGCCCATGTACAAGAATGAGTTTGTGCTGAAAAGCCCCAAGGAATATGAAGAGGAAATGAAGAAAGCCGTCAGGGCTCCTGTGGTGCACGACACCTCACAACTCATGGAGACTTCAGGCGATCCTCACCAATGTTTTGGCATGGGAGTCACCAGGCAATATCATTACGACTCTGTGCGTGAGCCAACCTTCCCAAGAAAGCCGGACCTCTCCAAAGGTGAGCTCGCTGCTGGTGCTACTCTCACACGAACCGACGTTTGGCACGATCCCAAAGAGCCAGCCATTGTGTCAGTTGCAAAGTTTTCTCCAGAAAACTTCCGCCCAGTTGGCCTGGCCGAGAATGCTCCAATGCCAACAACCACGGTTCCTGAAGGGGCTTTGGACTTCCGAGCCAATCGCCTTCCCATCGGCCATGCAGATCGTCGTCCTTATGTGTACTTCATGACTGCAGTGAGTGCGGCTATTGCAGCCTCCATCATCCGAGCGGTTGCTTGCAAGCTGATCCTCACCTTGTGGCCCACCAAAGATGTTTTTGCTGCTGGCGTTGTGGAGGTCGACTTGCGCCCCATTCGGCTTGGGCAGAACTTCACGGTCAAGTGGCGCTCCAAGCCCGTCTTCATCCGCAAGCGCACACCGAACCAAATTGCAGCTGCCAAGAAGGATGATGTGATTGCTCCATCAATGCGTGATCCAGCTACAGATGCAGAGAGGTGCAAGCGCCCTGAGTGGTTGATTTGCATTGGTGTGTGTACGCATTTGGGCTGCATCCCACAGCCTGATGCCGGAAACTATGGTGGCTACTTCTGCCCATGCCATGGATCACACTATGACTTTGCTGGCCGCATGCGACAAGGACCTGCACCGAAGAACCTGGAGTTGCCCCCTTACCAGTTCCTTGACGACAACACCGTGAAGCTTGGCTGAGCCAGATCTCAATTCCCACGTCAAGTAGTCAAGTGGCACTTTTTGATGCAGGTTTGCCTTGGGCAATTGCCCTGTGGCTTCTGGGACTGGCGGGACTGCTATGAATAGAGCCACAACTTCGCCTTTGATTGAAAAAATGAAACAATTTTGGCCCCAACCTGCCAAGTTATCCAAGTCACACATGATATTTATAGGCGTGATGCATTTTTGCAGCTTGAGCGCTGGACTTGTCTCAAGGCAGATTTATTTCACAAAATATGGAAATGTAGCACTGCAGAGCGCTGTAACTAGATGAACCAATGAACCAGACTAGAACCCTCTGTTGATGATTTTCTTGATCCCTGAGAGAAACCGGTGGCCTTCATCAGCCTTCAAACGATTCCCAGTGAAACGATTTTGAAGGCAGCTTCTAGTGACTAGAAAGCTTTATTGCTGCTAGCAGCGATGGCCTCCAACCTAATAGCTTCTAGTCCGCTAAGAACCGCACGTGTTAGTGAGTGCCTGCGTGGCTGCGTGGCCTGTCCAACCCATTCGCTCTCAGACCCTCAGACGTGCTAAGCCGCGCCATGCAGAACAGCACCGCTGTTGATGAGGCGTGCCACATTGAGTGCAAACAGACTATAGTAACATATAGTAACAAAATGTAACCAACAACCCACTGGCGTTCAAATCACACATTTCAGGATCATTTTCCAAAGCATGTTCCTTCGATCTCGCAACCACAGATATTTCCAATTTGCTCCTAGATGAAGGTAAGGCCTAGGGCCTAGCTTAGGCCTCATGGATTGAAGCCAGGCCTTGTGCCAGCGTGTCCAGCTGGCACCTGGCTTTATTGAGAAGCTGCTGCCGCAGTTGGTGGATTTGGTGTCCGAAACTGAGAAAGACTCTACTTATATACTGTTTACTGTATACAGGTTTGAGTTGACTCGCAAGTCAAATCCTACCAAAGAAAGCATTATTGTTTAAACGAGTATGAGTGCAGTGGAACCAGAGTAAACCTGCGTAAATTCTTTGGACGGTTTCATACATTTCACCGAGGAAGTACTCTCGACTTTTGCCACAGGGAGAAGAACATGCGATACGCAGGCCGTATCAATCACCACGACTGGCAGACCGCATTGGGATTGACCACCCCCAGAAACCGGATTGAAAGAGGCAAGACATTAAAAAAAGAAGGTAAGGCAGGTGAGGCCCATTAAGGGCCCCCCCTGTCTTTTTCAGCCATGCGGCCATGGCCCATGGCTGTGCATGGCGGCACAGGGGATCCAGAGACTTCCTGGCATCCTCCAAAGACTTGGGCTTTCGCTCTTTGCAAGCGGCCGGAAGCTGAGCACTGCACCGCATGCTGAGAGGAACATTGCAAAAGGTCTGGATTGAGGTCAGAGATATCAACCTGACACCCTTTTTGGATTTTGCAATCTCGTTTCTATTCTCAGAAGCTTAATCCAAGGTGTCAATGTCAAAAGCCTCTTGCAGTTGCATCTTCTGAAACCTTCAGGTACATCAGATCTTCAGATTTGTTGACCAGACCATCCATCGAAATACAGCGCCCGAGGCAGACTTGGTTTTGTTTAGCCGCTGCTAGTGCATTTTGACAGCAAAATCACTCAAGGAATGTAAAGGAGACTGAAGCTCATGCAGCTGTGTTTGCTTCAAGAAGGAAAGAAGGAAAGATAGACAAATCCAACAAATGACGCACAGTCTCCTACAATCTCAATCGGTGTGTCATGTTGTTTCCATTCAGCTTTGTTTGATCATGACCTCAAGACGCAACGTCGCTCAAAAGGTCAGAAAAGTCCAGATGTGAGTCGAAAGACAGTGTTTAGTCAAGTGCCACACTAGTAGTAACAAGTGCCACGCTAGTAGTAACAGATGTGAAGGTCGACAAAATAGATCCCGAGTTGTTGCTGTCGCTCGGGCGCCATGAAGCGGCTAAACCTGGAGTGGAAGGCTGCGAAGAGCTTCGTAATCGTGCGGATGCTCAGAGATCCTTTGTCATGGAGTGCTTCAATTCCTTGAATTCCTTATCCTTCCTCATTTATGTCCTTATCCTTCATTTCCTTCACCACTCTTCATACCTTAGCATGCTAATTAGCATGCCTTAGCTTTTGAAGTCTGGTCGGCAGTGAAATCGGCAGCATGGCGTAGTTTTCAGAAAGCATTCTCGTGAGGACTGGTGAGGGAACGGCATTTGGTGCTCATTCTTTAACCGTAACCCTTTACGTGGAAGCCATGTTCCTCTCTGAAAGAACGCAGACAAGGAGACAAGAGCTGATAAAAGCCACAAACCTGAATGCAATATAGTACCCCAGAACAACAAAGCTCGTTTTTGATGCACATACGGTCACATACGGCGAGAAATTGGGGAGGCAAGAACATGCAAGTGACACTCTTGTGCGACAACCTCGTAGGACTTCTGTGCAAAACTTCAGTGGGCGAAAAGAGTTGGATGTCCATGCCAATTTGAAGGCCTCCAAGAAATCAATCGGGCCAAACTTCAAGACTATCACGACCCATCAAAAGCAGATCAACATAATATCATATTCACTAGGTCACGAGACACAATCGACACAGTTTGTGCGATACTGTCACCTCCACCACACCCCGCAAACGCACAAAATCACCCATTGAGGTCTCGATCCAGTCATTCGTTACTGGGAAATCGAATTTAAATCGAATGACAAATCGAGGATGGTGGTTGTGAACGATCTTTGTGTCTTTGTATATAGATCGTTATGGGTTTCATCGATCTATGTAGATTATGTTCCGCGATCCGTTCGTTATCGCTATCCAGATGCCCACAGCACCTGCCACACAGAGACACCCCACCAAATCTCTGCTGGGGTGAAAAGTGTTTCACGAAAAGAACGTCTCATGTGAAAGAAAACATGTTTCATTCTTTATTCGGACATTTTGTCTTGTTTCATTAATTGAATATTTATGTTTACTTTGGAACAAAACTTTGCACGAACTGCCACGAACGTCGCAATCTGACCACCTCCAATGCCCCCCAAAAAGGAAATACAGAGAAGCAGGAAGCGACCATGTATCACGCACCATCCAACATCGCGCCTCCGCAGTATTTTCACACGAATCGGAAGCCTCATTTATTCGTTCAAAGCCGCCTCCAAGTCCTTCCCATGCCAAGAGGTATCAAGACGTGAGTTGAACAAGGA